TTGCCCAACCTTCCTTCTGAGGAGTGGCTGGTGGGTTTGAACCGCCAGCCGTCTGGTTAGCAGGCAAGTGTCTTATCCACTATGCTACCAGAGCTCCCACCCTGACATAGGTTTCTTAATTACTCCGCTATCAGATGAGACAAGTATGGGAGAGGTGAAGTGACTCACCCGGGTTACCCAGCCGCAGGGGAAGAGCTGGGAACCGAATCCAGAGATTTAAACCCTGGAGTCTGTGCTCTCCACCTGCGTGTTTTCCCCACAGCTTTGCAGGTGCTCTGAGGGTCAATGACCACAGCAAACACAGACGCACCATCAAGAACATCTGAGGCCCAGGAGGCCAGCTATCCTGATGTCTCTAACGAGATGCTATTCCTCTGTAAGTAACGCTCATCCTTCCCCATGTTACTCTACAGCACCCGCATCCCCCAGCGGACGGCCCAGCACTGGCCCATGTTCACTTCTATATTCCGGGGACTGAGCAGGGAGTGCTGGGCACAGGGCGAGTGTCCCGGAAAGCCCCACAGCACACGGAGCAGACGAGCTGTAATTACCTCTGAACAGCTTCCACCAGTCTTTTCCTCATTTTCTCGGTTTCAATTGCAAACAACCAAGGCTCCAAGGATTTGGTAGATCTGGTGACTGCGTCAAAGAACCTTCTGGTCTTGCTGGCACTGTGGGACTTATTCTGAATCTGAACATATGACCTCCAGAGAAGCTGGTTGCCCGGATACAGCTTCAAAGCCTCGGACAGTGCCTCTCGCAGAGGAGCCAGGGGGTAAATGCTAACCTTCATGTGGAACCGGAGCAGACCAGTGTGCATCAGTGTGACAGCTTCAAGAGCATGGGCCACGCTCCCGGGGCTGCCGCTGTCCTCCAGCCCAGAGCCCTCGGGGCACACAGAGCCCTTCAGTTTTGCAAATACCTGCTGGTATACCCGCACGGCCCCATCAATGCCCGTGGTCAAGTACTGGAAGAGCATAAAGCACTTGACCACGCTGATCAGGCGGTTAGAGGAGCTGCTGGGGGCTGGGCCCGAACCCCAGCTTTCATCCAAGCAGCCCTGCAGTGCATGCTCGTAAGCCTTCCGGGCCTTCAGGATGTGAACGGCCAAGACCTGCCCGGTGTAGGGCCTGTAGGGAGTGGCCTCAGTCAGGCTGGTGAGCACGTGGACCGCTCTGGACGTGGCAGCCCCGCTCAGGTCCCACAGCACCTCCACCTCCAGCTCCGCATAGAGCAGACCAAGCTCGCACAGCTCGCCATCCTTCAGCTCGCTGGCTCCCGCCATGCTGAGGGCCGTGTCGAAAACCTTCCTGGCATCCTCTGTGTTGCCCAGCAACCACTCCAGATGTGCATACTGCTTCCAGAGGCAAACACTGCTACAGTTTTCTGGCTCCTTAAGGAGATTCCTGGCTAGTTTTTTGCAGTTCTTTCCTTGTGACTTTAATTTCTTCTTGTTTTTAGTGTTCAGACACCCAATGACCTACAGGGGAAAGAAAAAACAAGTGCAAGTGCTCCATGATTTTAAAGCCACCCATCTGTACACTTCCAACTTCAGAACGTCACCTACAGGGCCTCCCTTCCTTCCCTTATCACACGTTTGGTAAATACTTAGGCTCTCTGAGGCTGGAAATCAAACCCAGATTCTAGCTGGGCTACAGGGGTCCCTAAACTAATACATCCCGGGCTCCTCTGTCAACAAGGCTCATACAGGCAAGATGCCCTTCTCCAGAGAGGTGGCTACCAAATTCCATCAGACACAACTTCAGCAGACAACCCAACAAGTGAGAACTGTAGTTAAAGCTTCAGAACTGTGGTGTGAAGATTCGATACTAGCTGGTGGCCAGCAGGGGGCAGAACAGTCGAGCCACTAATTTCTAGCCGATAGCTACAGAGTAGGGAAGTAGGCAGCTTATTTTATTTAATAAGCCCCTAAGTCCTCTAAGGCCCTGCTTAGGCTTAAGCTCAGTTCTTAACACTAACTGATCACACAATGAGACACCTGGTGATAGCAGAATAACACGATAAACAGGTCCAGAGTCACCCGAGTGCCTGGACTCGTTCCCATCTGCCTCCTCTCACTGCAGCCCCGCAGAAGGGGCAGCCACACCTGAGGTGTTTTGAGGAGTCACTGAAGGAAGAGGGGGTGTGGCCCGGTTTCCGGAGAGCAAGCAGAGCCCACAAGCCCACGCAGGAGCCCCGGGAGAATGCAGCTCAAGGCGAGGCCGCGGTGGCTGCAGCTACCTTTGCTGCCTCGTGCTGTAACCAGGAGCAGCAGAGCCGGGTCTTCTCTTGGCCTGAAAACAGAGGCAGCAGCAGCTGGAAGACGTTGCGGATGAACTCCTCACCCTCTCGGCCGTGCCCCCTGGTCCCACGAGGACAGCCTAACTGCTCCATGTGGCCAACACAGCTCACGCCGGAGAATGGAGGGGCGAGACAAGTCAGGGGGTTTTCATCAACAAGTCCACTATCAAAGATGCTGTTCTCGTCCATGACCAGGTACCTGCAGGAGGCCGGAGGAGAAAAGGCACAAGGCACGCCCAAGAACTGCAGGAAGGCTCCAACCAGCTGAAACTGAAGCTCCCGGCTGCAGAGTCTGATCAGAGACTGTCCGATATCATCAAACAGGACCTGCAGCAGGGACAAAATGACCTGTTCCAGAGCCCAGTGTGTTTCATGAGACAGATAAACAAAAAGCACCCAATATTCCCCAGGGTTCCTTCTACAGGAATGTATTTATGCTTCAACATCACTCAAATAATATCAATTCCAAGTAGACAGGGCCTAGGTTTTCTGCCAGGAGCCTGAATAGCACAAGTGGCTTATAACCTAAAGGCTGGTGGTTCAAACCTACTCAGCGATACCAGGGAAGAAAGGACCCAGCAAACGGCTTCTGTAAAGATGACCGCCCCGTGGCACAGCTCTCCTCTGTAACCCACAGGACTGCCGTGAGTCGGGGCCACCCCACCGCAAGGACAGCTAACCACAGGTTCTCTGGAGGACACAAAAATGTCAGAGGCCTCACAGGCTCCCCGGAGAGCTGGGAGGGCCTGCCAGCAGCCCTGCAGGGCTCAGAGTGTTCTCAGTCCTGGCCACGCTGGGAAGGCGGGGACACACCAACGGGCTGAAGCCAAGAGCTCTCTAGCAAAGCATCTGGAAGGCTGCTCACTTGTGAAAGCATGCCTAACTGCTTCTGTAGTGACTCTGATGAACTGTTAATGAAGCAAAATTTTCATTTTAAGATGCAAGATAGGAACTTTACCATTTTGTGGTTTCTCTGTACAAAATTGCTTCAGGAAATGTAATCCAGGCTCCAAAACTGACCAACAGCTGACAGTTACGGAGGAAACTGCAGGCACAATGAACCATGTTGGAAGCAACTCAGAGCCTTTTTACCAAAGTGTAAACATCTGTAGCTGATTTCATGGAGCCAGTTTAAAGCGCAAGGCCAAAGGGATGCTCCCCTGTGCCAGGCACAGCTCATCGCACCAGCTCTCGGCAAAGGGGGAGTCCAAGCAGAAGCGACAAGAAACCAGCCCACCTGGGGCTCAGCGGGTCAGAGGCGCCCACCAGGGAGCTGTTTGCCCCCGGCTCCAAGAGAAAAAGCGGGAGGACTGCTCCCAATGGCAGTCTGCTCCAGAAACCCACTTCCTGGGGACAACTGTGGGCCTTGAGACCCAGTGTGTGGAAGGGCGGGCCCCACCTCTGCCCCTGCTCTCCTGCTCTACCGGAAAGCTCACCTCCAGCCGGGCAAGGCAGCTCCCTCCTCACCCCCACAGGCCGCTCACCAAGCATCCCCCCAGCTGAGGCTTCCCCGGCAGCCGGCCGCTCCCCACCCTGAGATCGCCCTCTCTGACTGCTTCCCACCCGCACCTCGGCTCCTAATCCCAGTCTCACCCTCTCTGGACCTTCGCTGCTGCTGACCGCCCCCACAGCAGGAGCTCTCACATCAACACATATTCACTCAACGCTCAATACGGAGTGCTCACCGCCTGACAAGCACTGCCCTGAGCACCTGAGACGCAGCACTGGACTCAAGGGCAAGAGTCCCCACCTTCTCAACAGTCACCAGGGAGGTGGGCACCCCTTAGAACCATCGGCCACACACGATCAGCAGGGCAGCACTGCCCAGGGAGAAAGCTCAGAAGGCAGGAGGGACAGGAAAGGACGCAGGGGCATGATAGACAGGGAGGAAGGGGGAAGAACGGTGTCACACTGAGCACTGCAGTCAGCGTTACAGCACAAAGTATGTGTGCATGGGTGGATGCAAAACCAATCTGCTCTCAAAACTTTCACCCACAATTTAAAAAAAAAAGAGAGAGTTGTTGTTGTTGTTAGGTGCCCTCGAATTGTCTCCAACTCCCAGCCACCCCAAGTACAAGAGGATGAAACACTGCCAGGTGCCATGAAAAAAAAAGTGGATTCAAACAAACCCCTACCTTAAAGGCACTTAACAGCTCTATGGGAGGTCGCAGACAATAAACCAAGCCTAGCCAATAAGCTGCCCGTGAAAACCCTGCAGTCTATACCTGGAACCAGTCCCGTGCTGAGCACTACAGTGGGTACCATCGGGCTCCACTCCAGGCACCCAGACAGAATGCCTCCCTTTATCTTAGCACAACTCCTCCAGAACCACTGGCCACTAACCTCAGAGCAGCAAACACCAAGGCACCATGACAGCGAGAAAGTGACATACTCTAGGCACCTGGCACTGAACTGGCATGTCTCTACGTGTACATGACCGTCCCCACCTGGACTCTTTGTCCCACTCCTTTCACCTTCCAGACTCAAGCCACCTGCTAAATCTCTGTGGAGCAGAGAGTGAGGTGGGGGAAGAGCACACAACGCAAGAGCCTACGGCTGTGACTCAGCTTCTGGGGCTTAGGCCCTCAGGCTGCCCCGTGAAAAGTTAACTGAATAACCTAGAAGACAGTCTCCAGAGGGTCTAGTCCCTACATGGTCCCCACGACAGTGGCCAATGAAATTCTCCCCTAGTGTTCAGGAGACATAAGTCCACAGAAATGGACGGGACAGGCAAGCACCTCCCACGCCTGCCAAGGACTAAGAGTCCCAGCACCACTGGAAACGGACGGAGGCAAAGACCCCCACGGCCAGCTCCCCTCCTGGGTGACGGAGACTTACCTGCCTCTCTGGATCCTCGCAGTCTTCCTCGGTTTGCTTCTTGGCCTTATCGGGGCGCCAGGGGCGCCAGTGCCTCCGGTCTCGGGAACGCTCAGCACCGAGCCAGATCTGACACCTGGGCAGGGTCTTATCTCTTATTTCCTGGTCATCTTCTTCTGGTTCATTGTCATCCTCATCTAGACAAGAATAAAACTTCTGGTTCACCCACTCAGCAAACAGAATGCCACTCATTCAATGTCTGCCAGGCATGGTCCTGGGCACTTGGAACGCCAAGATGAGTAAGCCCAAGCCAACCTTCCAGTGGCAGTGGGGACATCTGTAATGACCCAGCTTCCGGGAAACAGGCTGAGAGGTGGATGAAACAATAATGACCCAGCTTCCAGGGAAGCAGGCCGCGAGGTGGATGAAGCAAGATGATCTGAACGTTATCCCACAACGAGAATGGGGATGGCCCCTGTGCTGCACCAGCCCTGGCCGACAGGACTGTGTGGGATCGTGGACTCATTCTGGTCTGTGCTGTCCCGCACGGACGCCACCAGCCTCATGAGGCGCACTGGGCACATGAAGTGTAGCTAGCGAAGGAATTCAAATTTTTTTTTTTTTTTTACTTTTAATTAGCTCTACTTAAATAGCTGCTGAGTAGTCACTGTATGGGACAGCACAGCTGTAAAATGCTACATCACATTAAACAGCCACCGAGGAGCTCTGGTAGCTTAGTGCCTAAAGCACTTGACTGCTAACCAGAAGGCTGGCGGTTCAAACCCACCAGCCACTCCTCGGAAGGAAGGTTGGGCAATCTACTTCCGTAGTGATACAGCCTCAGAAACCCAAGGAGGGGTTGCTACGCATCGGGTAAGACTCAACGGCACATAACAAGTGGTTACCGTATTGGACAGCACATTTCTAGAATGTAACATCACATTTAATGAAAGTATTGGTTTAGATATTCTTAGGCAATTAGAACTTTCAGCCGTGGCCTTATGAATGATTATGACCTATGCTAATATAACTTGCTGGGAAATGGGAAGGGAAAAAAAAAAGTCAACACAAGATAATCTAAATTTATTTCACTTTGTTTCCTAATTCTGAAGATGCAGAATGAAAAAAAATAAAAGTCTGAATCATCTGAAAACTTAAACACTAAAAGCACAAAAAAACAAATAACCATGGAGTGTAAAATGGCAGTCACTCAGGAGACAATGAGACAGTGCTTATAAAACCAAACGGGCACTTGTCACGAAAGCCAGCAACTGTACTGGAAAAAACGAAAACCCATGTTCACACAAAAACTGGTACACAGACAGCTTTACTGACAAGAGCCCCAAACCAGGAGCCATGCAAGTGCCCCTCCAAAGATGAATGAGTGGATAAGGAGACACACTGTGGTGCGTCTGCACCACGGTGTACAGCTTCAGACTCACAAGGAGCGGACAGCTGATACACCAAGCACTTGGATGACTCGAAGGGAGTCATGCCGAGTGGGGGGAAAGTCAATCTGAAAAGGCCGTTGATCCCCTTTACAGAACACACATGAAACAGCACAATCATATCAGAGATGAAGATTAGTGGTTCCCAGGGGACAGGGTTGAGAAGGGTGGAGGGATGGGATGAGATAGCACAAGGGAGCCCTGTGATGATAAGACGGTTCTGTCTCTTCACTGTGGTGGTGGTGGTTACATGAAACTACACGTGATAAAACTGTACAGAACTATACAAATACACAACACACAAATGGGTACAGTGTTGTCAGACGCTGACACGTCGGTTCTGACTCACGGCGACCCGTGCACAACAGAAGGAGACGGGCCTGTGCCCCCACAGCTGTCGCTCCACGGAGCCCACGGCTGTAGCCACCTTGTCAGCCCGTCTTGCTGAGGGTCTTCCTCTTTTCCGCTGACCTCCTACTTTGCCAAGTATGATGTCCTTCTCCAAGGACTGCTCCGTCCTGATGACATACCCAAAGTATGTGAGATGAAGTCTTGCCATCCTCAATTCGAAGGGGTGTTCTGGCTGTACTTCTTCCAAGACAGATTTGTTTTTCTGGCAGTCCGTGGTACATTCAATATTCTTCATCAAGACCATAATTCAAATCCATCAATTCCTCTTCAGTCTTCCTGTCCAGCTTTTGCACGCATAAGAGGTGAATGAAAACACCAGGCACACCTTAGTTTTCAAAGTGGCATCCTTGCTCTTTAACACTTTATAAAGAGGTCTTCCGCAGAAGATCTGTCCAATTCAACACATCATTTGATTTCTTGACTGCTCCTTCCATGGGCATTGACCATAGAGTCAAGTAAAATGAAAGCCTTGACAACTTCAATCTTCTCTCCATTGATAATGATGTTGCTACTGGTCTGGTTGTGAGGATTTCTGTTTTCTTTATGTGGAGGTGTCATCTATACTGAAGGCTATAGTCCTTAATCTTTATTTTCATCACAGTACTTCATGTCCTTCTTACTTTCAGCAAGCAAGGTTGTGTCAGCTGCATGTCGCAGGTTGTTAATGCGTCTTCCTCCAATCCTGATGCTGTGTCCTTCTTCATATAGTCCAGTTTCTCAGCATATAGATTGAGCAAGTATGGTGAAAATATATAACCCTGACACTCACCCTTCTGGATTTTAAATAATTCAGTATCCCCTTTTTCTCTTCGAATGGACTGCCTCTTGGTCTACGTGCAGGTTCCTCATGAGTACAATCAAGTGTTCTGGAATTCCCATTCTTCACAATGCTATCCATAATTTGTTATGATACACACAGTCAAATCCCTCTGCATAGTCAATGAAACACCTTTCTGATAATCTATGCTTTCAGCCAAGATCCATCTGGCATCAGCAGTGGACCCCTGGTCCGTGTCCTCTTCTGAATCTGGCTTGAATTTCTGGCAGTTTCCTGTCAATGTACCGCTGCAACCATTTTTGAATTATTTCCAGCATAATTTTACTTCTGTGTGATATTAATGATATGCTTAGATAATTCTCACATTTACATATATGTAAAACTAGTGAAATCTGAATAAACTCTGTGGAGCATATCAATGTCAGTTTTCTGGCTTTGATACTGTGCTACAGTTTTACAATATGTCACCATTGTGGGGAACTGGGTGAAGGGTACACAAGACCTCCCTGAACACTTCTTTGCAACTTCTTAGGTATCTATGGTAAGTATTTCAAAGTATAAAATTAATGAAACAGAAACAAAACAAAGAATTTAAATGCATGACATATAAGTTAACATTTTAAACCCAATCTTCTATGGTTTTCTGAGTTTCTTAAAGAAGATAATTAAAACTTAGCTATTTATCTCCTCCTACATTGAAAGTAATCCTTTAATCACTCTGAAAAGTCTCACCATAAGAGAAATTATTGCAGTGAGTCAGACATTAGACTCAGAGTCCTGAATTCATTACATTGAGAATTCAAAGGATTATAAAGGTTTTGGACAGAATCCATTCAAGTACACCATGAAACACAATGGAAAGAACGCATAAAAACCTTTTTAGCCATTTCACATGTAATTATTACAAGCAGGAAGTGAGGGTAAGAGACAAGAAAGAAGCTGGGACACAGGCGAGAGGAAATCCCACAGAATGTGTGACAAATCCTAACTACCCGCCAAATGCCCACACTGTCGAGACGGACAGGAGAACGTCAAAGCCGGCTAAACACAATGATACAAAAACAAAAAGGTTTATCAACTAGTCTTCTGGAAACCAGAAGACGCACACCTTTATTTTCACCAGGCTGGGTTTTGGAGGACACCCATCAAATTCATTACTGAAGCAAAAACAGAAGAAGAGCCTGAGATGGCGTGGTAGTTCAGTCTATGTGTCAGCTTGGCGGGGCCTGGTTGAGTGGCTGGACAGTTGGATGAAGTATTCCCCATGATGAGACTGGTAATCAACTCCATGGCGGAATCTACTGGGAGCAGCTGAGTAGCTGCCTTAGGGAATGTGGTCTGCTTCCTGTATGTAAGCAGAAGCCTTGGGGAATGGTCTCTAGCTTATGGCATGCATGGACCCTGCATGTAGCCATGTCGTTGTTCAGCAGCCTGCCATGCTCTGCTGACCTTGGGACTTACAATGGACTTAAGTTAGTGGCCTGCCACGTGGTTTGGTAATATCAGGACTGTGCCTTTTTACTTGTCAACCTTGGGCTTCTCAGCCTCAGCAGCCAGCAGCTGAGTGATGAAAAGCCTCTAGCTCCAATGGGCCGGGAGCAGGAGGCAGAGCTGGACCCCAAGGTTATGGGGCTTTCACCTAGCCGCTAGAGCCTGGCACTTTGAACTTGGACTTAAAGCCTCCAAACTGTAAGAGAATAAACTCCTGTTTGTTAAGGCCATCCCATTTATGGTATATTCCTGTCAGAGTGGCACTAGGTAACCAGAACAGATAGAAATGGGAAAGTTTGCAAGGACTGTGAGTCCTTATGCAGGAGGCCTTGGTGGCCCAATAGTTAAGATCCAGGCTGCTACCTGAACAGCTGCTGGTTCGAACCCACCAGCTGCTCTGAACCCACCAGCTACTCCACAGGAGAAAGCTGTGGCAGTTGGCTTCTGTATAGATTCACAGCCTTGGTGTTCTGGTTCCCTAGTGCCACTCTGATAAGAATATACCGCAAATGGGGTGGCCTAACAAATAGGAGTTTATTCTCTTACAGTTTGGAAGCTTTAAGTCCGGTTCAAAGTGCCAGGCTCTAGGGGCTATGCGAAAGCCCCTCAATCTTGGGCTTCAGCTCTGCCTCTTGCACCTGGCCCACTGGAGCTAGAGGCATCTCCTCACTCAGGCAGCTACTGGCTGCTGAGGCTAACAAGCCCAAGGTCAACAAATAAAATGGCACAGTCCCAATGTTACCAAACCACGTGGCAGGCCATTAACTTAAGTCCATTGTAAGTCCCAACGTCTGCAGAGCATAGCAGGCTGCTGAGCAACAACACGGCCACAAGCAGGGTCCAGGCGTGCCATAGGCTACAGACCTTTCTCAAAGCTTCTCCTTAAATACAGGAAGCAGACCACATACCCAAAGGCAGCTACTCAGCTGCTTGTGGTAGATCCCACCATGGAGTTGACTGCCAGTCTCATGATGGGGAATAACTACCACTAGCTGCCCAGCCACTCAACCAGGCCCAGCCAAGTTGACACACAAACATAACCACCACACCTAGAAACCCTATGGGGCAGTTCTGCTCTGTCCTACAGGGTTGCTATGAGTCAGAATTCAGCCCACAGCAACAGATTGGTAAGTGCTAACATACCTCTCTAATGCAACCTGAAATACCGAGGTTTCAACACTTGCATCATCCTTCTGAGAAAAATCACTTTACAGCTGACTATGAGTGGCCATTAGACCTTTGGACACCTGTCAGAGAAGTGATGCTAACTTGGTCTCTGGACACCACTATGAGAACTCAACTAGCTTAGAAACGCAGAATGGCTTAAACTATTCGGCATAGGCACTGTGCATTGTAGAGCCTGACTCCAACCACAAAGGAAAAACCAACCACAAAAGCACAGCCTTGAAACATACAGAGCTGCACTGACTCAGGCACTGGGAGAAAGAGCGGAGCTGGGATTTCTTGTTTTGGGCCCTGTCACTTGGTGTCGCAGACTTGGTGGTTAGCAGTGCAATACCCACTGCTGGCTTGTGCAGGGTTTTCTCATATACAGAACCACGGGCACCAAGCATGAAGAACTGCCAGCTCCAGGGAAATCTGAGCAGCTAAGGCCTCTGCACCCTCTAAACGAGGCATGTCCGCTGCCTGACAGCACTGCCCAGAAAAAACAGACCAAAACCCCTCAGGGGTTCCCTCCTTAGTGACAAGAGTGATCCCACCTGGCCCAGAGCCTTCAGCTGCCATGCAGACGGTGCCTCAGACACGGACTAATCACAAGTTTTCATTCTGCAGATGAAGAAACTAAGGCCCAGCAAGGTGAAGCCTGTGCCAAGAGGCTGGCTGAGCCCCAGGGAGGAGCCCGTCTCCTGCTCCTGGTGCACCCACCACTCTTTCCACCTGCATTTCAACGAGAACAGTCAGCTGGGTGCACAGCCCTCCACCAGCCACCCCTGCACACTGAGCTGCCCTCAGAGGCTCAGTGTCGACGAGCTGCACTGTCCACTGCAGCAGCCACTACAGCGTGGCGGCTGCACACCTAGAGTGGCTGCTCTGAACCGAGGTGTCCACACCAAGCTGCAAGTATGAAAAAAAGTGTACAGTACCGTAAGTACAGTAAGGGTTCAACACTGATTACATGCTGAAATGATGTTTTCGTATATTACATAAAATAAAATACAGTCTATTTGACCTGTTACTTCTTTTAAAAATGGTTGTTAGGTGCCACTGAGTCGGTTCTGACTCATCGTGAGCCCATGTGCAATAAAACGTAACACTGCCCGGTCCTGTGCCAGCCTCGCAATCCCTGCTATACCTGAGCCCATCATTGCAGCCACTGTGTCAAACCATCTCGTTGAGGGCCTTGCCCTTCTTCGTCGACCCTCCACTTTACCAAGCATATCCTTCTCCAGGGAATGGTCCCTTCTGACAACATGACCAAAGTAGGTGAGACCAAGTCTGGCCACTCTTGCTTCCAGGAAGCATTCTGGCTGCACCTCTCCCAGGACAGATCTGTTAGTTCTTCTGGCAGGCCATGGTACTTTCAGTATTCTTCGCCAACACCACAACTCAAAAGCATCAACTCTGCTTCAGTCCTCCTTATTCATTGTCCAGCTTTCACATGCATATGAGGCGACTGAAAACACTGGAGCTTGGATTAGGCGCACCTTAGTCTTCAAAGACATGTCTCTGCTCTTCAGCACTTTATAGAGGTCTTTTGCAGCAGATTTTCCCAGTGCAATACATCATCTGCTGCTTCCATGGATGTTGACTGTAGAACCAAGTAATATGAAATCTCTGACAACTTCAATCTTTTCTCCATTTATCGTGATGCTGCTTATTGGTCCAGTTGTAAGAATTTTCATTTTCTTTATGTTGAGGTGTAATCCATACTGCAGACTGTAGTCTTCATTCTTCATCAGTAAGTTCTTCAAGTCAGCCTCACATTCAGCAAGCAAAGTTGTGTCATCGGCATATCGCAGGTTGTTAATGAGTCTTCCCTCGATCCTGATGCCACACTCCTCTTCACAGAGTCCAGCTTCTCGGATTATTTGCTCAGCATATGGACTGAGTAAGTGTGGTGAAAGGATACAACGCTGACACACTCCCTTCCTGATTTTAAACCATGCAACATCCCCTTGTTCTGTTCCAACAACAGCCTCCTGATCTACTTTTAAAAGCAGCTGCGAGATAATCAGAAACGACAAATGCAGTTCCCATTCCATTCCTACTGGACAGCACTGAACCTGGGAAAGAGCTGGGGCCACTCAGGACGATGGTTTTATAAATGCCACAAACCAAAACCAAACCAGCTGCTGCCAGGTTGATTCCCACTCATGACAACCCCTGTGCGCAGAGTGGCAATGTGCTCCAGAGGCTTCTGTGACCGACCTCTGGGGACAGACTGCCAGCCCCTCTCCTGAGGAACCTCTGGGTGGATGTGAGTGGCCAACCTTCAGTGAGTAGTGGAACACGCAACGTTTGCACCACCCCCGGACTCCGATGTAAATGCTTAATAATTGTTTCATAATATTTCTAATGAGGCAAGCATTTTTCGAAGGACCCTGGTTTGGACATGGCCAACAGAACAGAAAGACTGCCTGAATGGGGTGTGTGGGGGGACAGTGAACAAGATTTCAACTTCTTCCAGGGCAACCTAGGAAAGGACAAATGGACAGCACTTCCCCTGGAGAGGAACTCAGGCCCTCAAAAGAGTTCTGTACCAAAGGACGAGGAACCAACTGCTTCAAGGGGTCAGAGGGGAAGAGTTCACCTCCCAGAACGTCTGTTAGTGTGTTTCTGACATCTTGACGGTTGCTCTATGTTCTTAGGCTACTACTGATAAACACAGCTTATACAGATAAACAAACACATGGATTTAAAACAAGAAAAGAAATACCACGAGAGAGAGGCCAGCGTGTCGCGGCCCAGAGGTGTCTCACCTGGGCTGACGACCACCCAGCCGCCCTGCTCCTGCTGATGCATCCATGCCCTCCAGCCTCGGGCTCCCTTCTCCCCGGCCCGGGGCTCGCCACTGTCCCAGAAGGGCTCAAAGAATTCCACCTGTGTGGATTAAAACAAGGAGGTCATGCCAAACGTCCACAAAACTGCTGAGTCACTGGGCATAGAGCCAATGGACAAAGGGGTGGCTGGGATTCCTGACTTGAAGCCACGCTGCGATCAGTCTTCGAAGATGCGTGATACACACTCCCAAACAGAAAAGCTTCTATTCTATTCTGTTCTAGCTCAGCTAGTGTCCCAGTGACACCACACCCTCGAGCGGAGGGTGGACGTACTGACTTGATTCTGACAAACAGAACAGCAAAGTGATGGGGTGACACTTCCGAGGTTAGGTGACAAAGAGGCTGGCCGAGGTGTGGCGAGAAGGGCCTGCAGCTAGGTAGGAAAGGAGCGTTTTCCCTGTTTTCACCCTGCCACACCAGTCTCCCCAGGACAGTGGCACTGCTGCTTCCCCTAATGTCACTGAACCCCCTAACTGATCCCTGCTTGTAGGACCTTTTGAGGAGAAAGACACTCAAAGTTTCAAAGGACAGACTGAGCTCTTGAGGGTATGACTGCATCTTAACTTTCTATTCCTGACACGTGGCACAGTGCCCAGCAGAGGAGAGACTCCTGAAATGGCAGTTGGCCCAGATGTTCCCGTGGTAAACGTCAATGAACAAAGAGGGCTGCATGCTAAAGCCTGGCCCCGTGAGCCCCTTCCTGCATTCACTGGGTGCTAGGTCTGCACTGTGGCAACCAGCTCCCTGGCAACAAATCATCCGGTGGACCAGAATGTGAACAAAGCAACGAAAAGGAAAGGGATCATGTTATCAACTGACAATAAAAACTTCACAAGTGAGCCAATTCCCTGCTCAAGGAAAGCTTTGTAGGAAGTCTTCTGAAGAGGACAAGCAGGCTTCCAATGGACACAGCAGGGGCCAGGAGCTGTGGTTACCCAGCCTGAGCCCAGGGAGTGCCCCACAGAGCTGCGAGATGTGGGCCCACTCAGGGAGAGCAGCTGGGGAGATAACACTCCCCTTTTTGAAGTTTTGCTCTTCAGAAGGGATGATAGGAGGTGTACTCAAGAAAGAACCAAGAGTATGCTCAGTGGTTAGAGCCCAGCGTTTGTTCCATAGGAGCAGGCCAGCAGGATCTGGCTCTGTTTGGTCTGTGTCTTGCACCTGTGTTTATGGTAGCATGGCTCTGAGTTACAGAGGAAGTATACGATAGCATTAGATAGCCAGCTTTATTTTGAAGTTGCCACACTAACGCTCCATGTGCTCGTAGGCTTAGAAATCTCCAGAGTGTGCACTTGGGTCCCGTGATACTTCCGAGCAGCCGTCCTCCAGGCTTCAGTCATGGGTAGTGTCCTCTGGTCTGTCAGCAAGAGCTCCCACTGGACACCACCTCCAGCAAAGGGTGGGATAAGGGAAATTCTGATACTGACCAACCCCGTTCCCCCCTGCTCCTGAGTCTGCTAAGAATCACTTCTGTAGCATAACAAATTTTTAGAATAGCGAAACATACCTTAAAATGTAATAATTTTGTCACTGGGCTTATATTAATGAGTTACACCACTATGAACTGGTATATCTTTAACTCGATTTTGTCTGGCAACACCAACACGGTAGCAATGGTCTTCACTGGGACTTCATGAAACAGTCACCCGATAGAGACCCCAGCATCAAGAACTCAGGAGCCCACCCTCCTCCACCAAACCCTCTCTGCACAGTAGGAACCCGAGCTTTCTCCCAGGAAAAGGAGAAAAAGTTCCCTTGCATGCTTCACTCTATGGCAAGACTTTTTCACTGCGTCACATAACAAACAGTGGCAAAGGCCACTGGTTGTCATCAAACCATCTCCCTTCCCCAGTTAGGATGGTGTTGACCAAGTGTCAGCAGGTCATTTGAACAGCAATTCCAGCAAAGATTCTAGGAGGTGTAAAGGTTTACTGGGGAAATAACACAAGCCCCAGATTAGAACGCATACAGGAAGAAGAGAGTGGCACGTGGCTTAAAATGACATGACAACCATTCCTCTGACTGGGCGCTAACTGCCATAAACAAGACAGAAGGAAGGGACATCAGTGAGACTTTTGATTTTAAAAAAGCAAACAAAAAATCTCCTTCCATCTCCCCACGTTTCATTATGGCCCTTATGGAATTCTCCTTCCATTGCCAGAATATTTCTGGGCAACAACCCTCAGCTGATATAAAGGAGGATGTTATGTTGTAAGAACACTACCACCTCCTGCCATTGTCCACACCTTCCTCCCAAGGGGTGACAGAGAGAGAGAGACAGAGACAGAGACACAGAGAGAGAGAGAAGGAGAGACAGACAGACAGACAGACAGACATGGACCAGGTCTGCGGAAACCGGTACCTGTCCTTTGGTAGGCAGATCTTTCACACTGTCAGGTTTGAAGAAGGTGAAGTCAACCATGGCCTGGAACAAAGAGACCGCCTTCTCCGAGTGGCCGGCCTGCCGCAGAAAGTGGCACTGCTGCAGAAAGAGTGCTGGGAACAGGGAGAGAGGGGCAGAACCTGTCACACTGTCACGGAGGAAACCAAATTTCTACCAACCAGCAGCTCGAGACCCAGAAAACCTTCTCCCTGAAATCAGTTACTTTTATGTTCTCAAAGCTATGATGTATGCACATCCTGCTTTAAAAAGGCTCACAAGAGCTCTGTAATCAAAGTAGACTCATCCTAATTTTCATATGAAACCATCACAGGGTACAAATATGAACAATGAAAACCAAATATGGCACACAGAAACAAGAGGCTCATCTGAATGTTGGCTATCAGATCCTCAAAGCTCATTACTACAAGAAAAATTACACAAAAAGGATGATGTAATAGTTTCACCAGAAAGTGAAGCACTGACCACTAGATGGCATTATTCACCAGCAATTATCACCCACAGGCTCAGGGTCTGCAATAAACAGTCTACTGTAAACAAACCTGGTTCAGAGTTCTACGCTGGAAAATTTCACTTGGTCTTAGCTGTGATGCAACATTTACTAAATAGGAAACATAAAGCCATCTGAGCATATCATCAATAACAGTCTCGGTCAGTGTGAAGAATGCTCGTTATTTCTACATACAACCAACACCAAACCCACTGCCATCGAGTCAATTCTGACTCTCAGAGACCCCCACTGGGTTTCCAAAGCAGTAAATCTTTATGGAAGTAAATAGTCCAGTCTTCCCTCCTCAGAATGGCTGTGGTTTGACCCACCAACCTTCTGGTTAGGCACTGTGCCACCAGAGTATCTTATTTCTAGATACACATGAAGATAACGTATTTCTATCTTCAGATGCTAACAGGAAGACTCAACAGCAAGCGTTTAACTTGAATGAATGCCTGCTATGCGGCAGGCCCTGAGCTAGACTCCATGTATTATTGCCCCGTTTACTCCGCACTCTAATCCTAGGAAGCAGGCACCACACTAGTTTTGCTGATGGAGAAACTGGGTAAGGCGCCTGCCCAAGGTCACGCCACAGCCACTGAAGGGCAAAGCCAGGGCTCATGCTCAAGATGGACACTCCATGGCTCCTGCACAATGCACCACCACCTCTCTCTGGTGACTGGCCAAGGTGTACATTCTGGGTTCCTCTGTCCCACCAACAAATCTTACCAGTGTTACGCCGCCAGTAACCTATCAGGGCAGTGCCTTCCAGGCAGTGAGAGCAGCTCACGTACATTACTGCAGGACGTACATTACTGCAGGAGACCCTGTCACTGCGTGAAAACAAAGCACAGACATCTCAACAAATCTAAGACCACTGACCGCCAAAGCAGTTAAGAGACTCAGGACTGTTTACTTGGTTAACCAAGTGGAAGAGGCGGGTCCGGGGAGGCCATCGACTATTTCTAACTATTTCTAACTCCACTGTCTCTAAGGTCATATCAAAACCTATGGTTTGGGGTGAGGGTGGATCTGCCAGACCCAAAAGGAGTCACAATACTTTTTAAAAATGTCTTATCAGACAATTTAATTTCTAAAATAAAACAAAACAAATCTTCTTTTTTAACTCAAGCCAGAACAGTCAGAATTCTGCACACGGCACTGGATGTGGTCCTCTACTTACCAAACATGTCCTCTTCGGTGCCAGGCAACACGGGGTGAGACAAGATGCTGCCGTCCTTAACGGAAGACAAAGTACTCAAGCATTTTCCATACAGGTTGTGAATTTTTGATACTGAAAAGGTGCTAAATTGGCTCTGGCAAAACAGAAGGTATTTCTGCCAAAGGCCTGTGTTGTTGGGGTGCAAGAAGATGAGCTTCTGCCACTCTCTGGCCAGTGTGGCGGGCTCCCACAGCTCCGCGCAGACCTTTAGCCTGGCGAGCTTCAGGTCCACGCTGCTCTGGTTGCTGGTGATGGCCCGCTCCAGAATGGCCAGCTTCTTCTCCAGGACAAGCTTCAGCGACCGCTTCTGCTTCTCAGGCTCTCCATCCTCCAGGGAGTACAGGCCAGGCCTTCGCAGGACCTCGTCCTCAACAACAAAACACCAGTTTACAAATGCAGACGGCCCTGGGGCACCGTTTCTCCCCTCTCAAAATGAATTCTTATCCAGACTTTCTCCTTAAAAGGAGCTCTGGTGGCATAGTGCCTAGGGCCATTTGACTGCTAACCACAAGGCTGGCTTTATCACGATTTCTTTTATAAGAACCTGGTTGCGAGGGTGCCAGTGTCACCTAGTACATCTGATCTTGCGTTTCTGTCACCCAATTTCCCTGTCTACCCTGGCATTTTGAACTTCAATTTCATATACCAGCACCTGGCCTAAAACACCAGGAAAGCCTTCTCAGAAGAACCAACTTCAGCAACAGAAAAGCCAGACGAGGCACAAAACGTAGTAGTGGAGAGGCTACGACAAACCCATGTATTTCAGAAAAAGGAGATCAGAGCTCTAACCAGGGTGACACGTGGGCAGCCCCTTCCCTCTCACAGCCTGTGTCCCTACATGTTCTGTCTGACATCAGGAAAGCCGCCGCCCTGTCTGACCAATGTCCACACTTCCTTCCAGACTCTGTTCGGACTTCCCTTTCTCTCAGAAGTCCCCGAGTGCGTGGCGGCAGGCCACTCTCACTGCACTCCCGCGTGTCCCCACCATCACAGCACTCATCGCCTTCGACGCGCTTCCTTCCCACGTGGCCGTGCTCCTCGCTGGACGCTAAGCAAGCTCAGAGCACGGACTGTAGGCTAATGCACCAGCTGCTCAGCAGGAGAAAGGTGACACAGTCTGCTTCCGCAGAGACTGACAGCTTTGGGAACCCGCTGGGGCAGTTCTACTCTGTCCTACAGGGCTGCTAGGGGTCAGAATCTAGTTGACAGCACTGGGTTTATTCTAATGTGAGAGAACTGAGGCAGCAACACCTACCTGAAAAGCGACAAACTCCATCCACAGCTGTGTATCCCAAGGGTTCTCTCGAACCTTCCTGTTAAACTCCTCCACCCTGGCCTTGAGGATGGCATTCTCTCTGTCCTGTTGTGAGTCTGCAGGCTTTGGCTCTTGCTCTGAAGGGCCCTGTCCTTGTAACCACTGTGTGGTGGAACGGTCATAAATCCCCAGAGGGTTCAGCCAGGTTATGACAGGAGCCACGTCATGTGAGTCCGTCACTGGTATAAACATGACTGGCTCAGATGAGGGAGGTTGGGTATGACTGCTAATGGCAACTCCGTCAACACTCATCAATCCCACATTTTTCTTCGTAAAATAGCGTTCCACGTGCTTGTGTGAATGCTTCTTTTCTGTGGGAGCTCCTTCCCAAGATATGCACTGCTTCTTAGGGTTAATGCCAAGGCAGGAGTCTCCTTTCCTCTTGTACCTTATATTTGGGGTGGGGAAAAAAAAGAAAAGTTACTGCAGGAATACGCATACCACCTCTGATTGACTGAAAGCTCATTAGACTGAACTTCTGGTTACGCAAGTTAACTGCACAGATCCACACTCACCTCACCTTCAAACTGTTCCTGGTTACTGTAAAATGGTACAACCATTGTGGAAAGCAGTATGGCGATTCCTTCAAAAGTTGGAAATACAAATACCATTTGACCCA